TGGACCACCATGGGAGTCCCAGTATTATTTTCATTGCAGTATCTGTTTTGATAAATGTCTCTGCATTATCCTGGGTTCTACACAGACTACAGATCAGAAAGGCTGTCAGCATCATAATAATGATACAGCAATTAAGAGCACAGGCTCTGATAAAAAAGAAAAAAAAAGAAGACATACACGTGGGGAAAATGTAAGCAGTTATAGAAGACTCATGAAAAAAAGAAAAAGAACACAGGTTCTGAATTCAGAATATTTGGCTTCAAACTTTGGCTACCCCATTACTAGTTGTGTAACTCTCGTCATGTTACTATTAAAACCCTCTGTGCCTGAGCTTCCTCATCTATAAAATGGAAATGAGAATATTAAATATAACTCACAGGGCAGGTTGTGGATTAAAGGACCTATACTGTATGCTTAGAACAGTTCCTGGCACAGCAAGCACTCAATAAATGTCAGGAGCTTTATTTTCATCATCTGTCTGTCTGCAGGGGACTCCAGCATACATATAAATTCGGTGGTAGCTTGGATTCAGTGTGTTAACACTAGATATGTAGGGTTATTCCAGAAACTTTATCCCTTCACCTCTGGAATCCAATATATCAGGTCTAGAAAGAAGAATCTACTACTAGAAAAGAATCTAGCATTATATCTTACACACAGAAGGCATTCAAATAATTTGTTTGATGAGTAAATACAGAAGAATTGGGAGAAAAATAAGAAATTCTGGGGAACAACTTTTAGGGGAAACTCATCTTTTCTTCCTCTGTATGATGGTAAAAAGAAAAGACTGGAACCAAAGATTGAAAAGACAAACCTGAAATTCTTTAGAGTACAAAAGTTCATTTCACTGCAGTTATCATCAAGGGAATAAACAGAATGTTAATTATTATTCATATGCCAGTTGGAGAAAATCTAGAACTTAAAAGCTCGTTTTTAAATAAATTAGTACATAGAAAAAAGAAAGCCACAAGGATTTCTGATGGTGATATAAGTGATTTCATTCTGTTCTGCTAAAAGGAAGAAATGGAGAGATAGGTAAAGATTTCTCTCTCTATGAAAACACCAAAGGGGTTTCTTTCGAAATGCTATAGCACAACTTCTACCTGCCAGTGCACAAACTAATCTGAAGCCAAATTGTGAACACTGGGAAAATTTTACTTTTTAGCCTCTTATTTCAGGAAATGTAAGCACAGGCACTAGTCTAGGGGTGTATGTAACCCCATTCTGGTTGGTGAAATGTAAAGACTCGTAAGGGATTTGGGGGGGAAGTTTTCCTCCTTGCAAGGGCTCAGTACACCAGAGAATATCTGTGATCCCTTCTTCCTGATTTGACGTCTTGTGTTAGAGTGATTCTCAGATGTGCTGTAGTTATGACAGAAAAACCAAAAGGACTACAGCAATCTACCCCAGTGTCTGACAACCTTGAGCTGTAGAACAATCTTTGAATAATTTACCTCCATGTTTCTTGTTATGGGAGCGGAAATTAATACCCCTACATGTTTGGACAAATTGTTATTTGTTTTTTGCAGATTAAAAACATTTGTAATTTTTATAGATCTCCTAGACTTATTCTCTAATTTTTCTGATCTTTCCTTTAATATTTTCCATCTTTGTTTTTTTCTACTTTCTGGAAGACGTCCTTAACTTTATAGCATTTGTTTGTTTGTCTGTTTATATGCACATGCAGATACACACACACATAGTTAAATTTTCTGTTATGCCATTTTAATTTACTATTTTAGTTTCCAAGAGCTCTTATTCTCTATTACTTTTGCTTCTTTAGTACAACCATGAAACAAGAACAGATTACTATATTTTCTCTTATCTTTGATGTTAATTATAGTTATTTTCAAATTTTCTTCTGTTCTCTGCACTGTTTCTGAGTTCCTTTTGACCATTTCTGCCATTATCTTTCCTGTTAATAGCTTTCTTTAAATATCTGGTTATTTATTTATTAATCTTGTTTTTAAAAAATTTTTAATTATTTATTTTATTTTTGGCTGCATTGGGTCTTCTTGCTGTGCGCTGGCTTTCTCTAGTTGCAGCGAGCAGGGGCTACTCTTGGTTGCGGTGTGTGGGCTTCTCACTGAGGTGGCTTGTTTTACTGCAGAGCATGGGCTCTAGGCATGCAGGCTCAGTAGTTGTGGCTCGCAGGCTCTAGAGTGCAGGCTCAGTTGTTGTGGCACACAGGCTGCTCCGTGGCATGTGGTATCTTCCTGGACCAGGGCTCGAACCCACGTCCCCTGCATTGGCAGACGGATTCTTAACCACTGTGCCACCAGGGAAGCCCCTATCTGGTTATTCTTAACTGTCCATTCATATTTAAGAGTTAAGGACTCTTGATGTCAATACTACCCAAAGCAATCTACATTCAGTGCAAGCCGTACCAAAATGGCAATGTGTTTGGAGAAATAGAAAAATCCATTCTGAAATTCATGAGGAAATTCAAGGGATCCCAAATAGCCAAAACAATTTTGAAAAAGAAGAACGAAGTTGGAGATTTGCATTTCCACAATGAGATACCACTTCACACTCATTAGGATGCCTATTATTAAACACACACACACACACACACACACACAGAAAATAAGTCTTGGCAAGCATATAAAGGATTGTTAATGGGAATGCAAAATGTAGCTGCTTATGGAAAAGAGAATGGCAATTCCTTAAAAAATTAAATATAGAATTGTCTTATGATTCAGTAATTCCACTCTGGGTATACACCCCCAAAAGAAGTAAAATCAGCATTATTCACAGTAACCAAAAGGTGGAAACAACCAACCACTGAAGGTAGCCATTGCTAGATAAATGGATAAATAAAATGTGATATATACATACAATGGAATATTATTCAGTGTTAAATAGGAAGAAAATTTTGACACATGCTTCAACATGGATGAAGCTTGAAGACATTATGCCAAATGAAATCAGCCAGTTACAGGAACTATGTTAGAATTCCACTTACGTGACATTCTAGAGCAGTAAAATTCATAGAGACAGAAAGGAGAATGGTGGGTCTCAGTGGGTAATCAGTAGATTACCCACTTAAGGGCCTTCAAATAGCAATACCCACAAGTCTTTTCCCTGGGCCTGGTCAACTTTCCTCAGGGGAGAATACTGTCATCTGCAGCCAGGCTCCTCTTCACAGCATATCAAATGGTGATAAGTTCAATGTTTTATTATTTCTATGTTTATTTTCTGTAAACCACTCCCCTGATTAACATACAAGCTATCTGAAGGCAGAGATTTGGCTGGGGGTGGGGTGGGCGGGGTTGTTTTTTGTTATATCCCCTGAGCTTAGACAAGTACAAATATTAGCAGGCGCTCAAAAATTATCTGTTGAACAAATGAATCAAAGATTTACGGAGCACTTAATATGTGTCAGGAACTATGCTATTTCATAATTATAAACTCAATTTAATCTTTAAATTACCATATGTGTGATACAGTCCCATTTTACCAATGAGGTGAGGTATAAGGAGGTTAGGTAACCTGTCTGCATAAATTAAGGCAGAGCCAGAATTTAAACACAGGGTCTGTGTGACTCCATGGTTCATCTTAACCACTATATTACACTGCCTTCTACAGAGAAATTGTGTAGTGTTAGTCCCTGAGAGTAAGAATCTACATGCTAATGATATAACCTATGAGGTATAGTCTGCTGTATACCATCCTCGTTAGATGTAATTCAAATAGTAAAAAGCCTGAAGCGTATGTGTGTGGAGGGGTGTAAATCCCTGCAACAGTGAGACATGGTGATCAATGCAAATGGATTACATCTGAGGATGGGGAAAGTTTCGTGACACAAAATGGTTGGCAGAAAAACTGCTGGTTAAGTTGTCTAATGCTGATTAACAAAGAATTACTATTTTCACCAGGACTATTTGCCTCCTTATGACTCCTTTGCTCGTTCTCCTCACACATACAAGTAAAACAGACAGCATGGGATATTAGAAAGTACACTAACTATATTCAGAGGTATGAATTCTAGTCCTAGCACCGATACTAACTGGCAGTGTGCTCTGTGATAAGCCATATGAAGAAGAGAACAGTTTATTAGCAGTTATTTCCAAACTTCCAAGTTTATTTTAGAAATGCAAGCTTACTTTCTCTTGAAATACTGAACATTTACTTACCCTTTAAAAGTAATTAGATTACTAAATTAGAATTTTTGTTCAGGAGTCTGTCAATCCATGCCTAAAAATCTCTGGCATTTGAAGGCAAATGGTAACCTGATCATTTGTAATTTAGGGTTATCTCCCAGTATGACTAGTGATTACAGTTGGAGCCAGCTTTTATAGAGACAGCCAGTATAGTGTAGTGGTAAGCAGTGTGGGCTGTGGAGCCTGACTGCCTAGATTCCATAACAGCTTCCTAGCTGTGGAACCTGAGTGACTTACATAGGAAACTAATGCCAAGAAAGCCTACCTGTGATTAGAACAATAACTACTACCTCATAGGATTAAGAACAATGACTAATCAATAAATTTACAATTATGTTAAAGGCTTGATACAAAAGCCTGAAGGCACTATCAAACAGTAAGGCTAAGCAATTTTGAGCTATTTAAATACTGTAGACTTTATCCATAAGGAAGCAAAAACCTATTTTGTGGGGATTTGTTCTGGGAGAAAGATATTTCACAAAATTCTCCCCATTTTCTAATATGGTAACTAGTTTGCTGACCTCCAGAAAAGACTGTTTTCTCTCTCTCTTTTTTTCACTAAGTTTTTGTTTTTTTTTAAACCAGGGTGATATTTTGAAGCTTATATACAACTTCTCCTTTAGTTTTGATATTTTCCAAATTAGAAAATACTACATATTTATTGTAACAAGTGAAACAAGATTAAAAAGTACAATAAAGACAAAGCTAATTCTCTCTTCCCGTATCTACTTCTAATCCCACTCCCTAAAATAACCAATATTACCAGTACAAATGCTTTCTTATAAGTTCATTTTCTTCTTTCCAAAATTACTACATATATGATACTCAAAAGCTTACCTCCAGATATATTGATGGTGGATTATGCTCCCCACCAAATTTGTCCAGTAGGGCCTCTATATGCTCCTGTGTCAATTTAATCATTTGTTTGATATTCCACACCTAAAAAATATTTTGAAAGAATTTGAATACAAATCATTTAGAATATGAATTAGAAATATTTTAACATTTCTATTAAAATACTGCAGTAACTGCCAGTGTTCCTTGAAATTTAAAGCTTAGAGACCTTAGAGATCATTTAGTATAGTGGTTTTTCCCTTTTATTATTAAACTTCTTTAAATTTTTTCCAACACTAGTAACACAATATATTCTCAACTATAAAAGATTTAAGTAATACATGAGTATTCAGGAACAAGCAATGAAAATCTCTTTTCACTTTCCCCACATTGCTGGGCCCCCTGCCAAAAAGGTAAGTGCTGTTTATAGTCTGATATACATTCTTCCATATCTCCTTTTCACTCAAGTAAAAAACATAAATATATACATATATAAAATATACAACTATATATAATATAAATATTACATATTAAAATATTTTTAACACTTGCTTTTTTCACCAAACATGCCTCAGAATTCTTTCCACGTCAATACACATGTATTTTACTCCATTTCAAGGGTTGTATAAGCATCCTTTTAAATGGCTGAATTAAGTATAGATAGATATAACATTCATTTCAAAATATTGTTATGGCACTGCTTATTTCAACGGTCTTCAAACTTCAACTGTAACCTAAGGTTAGGTCGACATGGATGATTTTAGGAGAATCAATTTCCAGATCCTCAATGTCTATCTGTACTCTTCCTAATTGATCTGCTTTCGAACTAGTTCTCCTTTCTTCCTCTCCTTTTAAAATCACCACTTTGTAATTCTCCACTTTGTAAAAGAAAGGCAAAGTTCTTATCCATCTCAGATCCTACTAAGGTGCACTGTTCTGAGCTGTATAAACTTCAAAGCACCTAACAAACAAAAGAAGAAGGAAAAGGGGGGGAAAATTAAGAGCAAGACCTTATTTTATTAATGAAACACATTCTTGGGAAGGCTCCAAGCCTCATCCATTTAACCAGCCAGCCAGCTGAGAATTCAAAGTCTAGAATTCAGAAGTCATAATACAGGCACATATTACATGTTTATTTTAAGATAAATAAGAAGTCAGATTTTTTTTTCCTTAATGAAAAATGAGTTCAATTTATCTGAGTGGTGTGAGAATCTGCTTTGCAAATTACCATACGGTATATGATAGATACTCTCTATAAACTGAATGATTTGAATCTGCAATTTTAAGGTGTAACCAAAATGTATTTAACATATAGTAGAAATCATGGTCTTTTAAACTATTACAGTTATAATGAAAAAACATGAGACAATTTTCTAAAAAATTTTTATTCATTTATTTATTTTTTGGCTGCATTGGGTCTTTGTTGCTGCGTGTGGGCTTTCTCTAGTTGTGGTGAGCGGGGCCTACTCTTCATTGCGGTGCACGGACTTCTCATTGTGGTGGCTTCTCTTGTTGCAGAGCACGGGCTCTGGTGCGTGAGCTTCAGTAGTTGTGGCACGTGGACTCAGTAGTTGTGGCTTGTGAGCTCTAGAGCACAGGCTCAGTAGTTGTGGTGCACTGGCTTAGTTGCACCCTGGACCAGGGCTTGAACCATGTCCGCTGCATTGGCAGGCGGGTTCTTAACCACTGAGTCACCAGAGAAGTCTCAAAAATGTGAGACAATTTTAAAATGTACAAGGGAGAATAAGTGAGCAAAGGATTTCAGGACCCTTGGTTTATTTAATAATTATTTAATAATTCCTTACTAGAGGACATTTAGATTATTTCATTTTTCTCAACTTCAAACAATTCAGTGAATAGCTCTGAAATGCCTTTCTGGGCAAAGGTACAAGTTTTCCTTTTAGATACTAAGGCAAAGGATTCCTGGATTGAAGGATATGCACATTTAAAAAGTTAATATGCCAAATGGTCTTCCAAAAGGAAAAAGGTACCAAGATACCCTCCTACTAGGGTATCAGTCCACCCTTTTCCCCACAATCCCACCAACACTGGATATTTTCAAATTTTTAAACTTTTCCTGATCTTAAGGGGAAAGATGATCTTGTTGTTTCAATTTGTATTTCCTAGAAAGTTGAGCATTTTTCATGTTTATTGACCATTTTAATTTCTTTATGGAAAATTCCCTATCTGTATTCTTTCTCCCCATCTATTTTTTTCTTATTCATTTATAGATACCCTTTATTCTGGATATTCTGGGTATTAATCCTTATTCTCCTACAAACGTTGCAGTCTTTCCTTCTTTTTACTTTATGTCTCTATAGTCACAGAAAGTCTTGCTACTCAAAGCACGGTCCATAGACTACCAGCAGCATAATCTTCTGGAAGTTTGTTAGAGTAGCAGAATCTCAGGCCCCATTTCAGACCTACCAAACTTTAACAAAGTGATCCTTATTGAAGTTTGAGAAGAAATGACAGAAGTTTCTAATTTTTTCTACAGTCAGATATTACAGTATTTTCCTTTATGACTCCTTTGCTAATTTCTCATATCCCCAACAAGTATTAGATATCTTCTTTTCTCTAGCTACACTTACTCCCCAAGTGATCTTACCTAATCTTGTGGCTTTATATGCCAAATATGAATTGATGAAACCCAAATTTTTAAACCCAATTCTATCCTCTCAACTCCAGACTTTCTGTCCAACTGCTTACTGAATATCTCTACTAAGATAACTAATAAGCATCTCAAACTTAACATGTTCAAAAGTCAACTTTTGATCTGTCCCCCAGAGCCCCTTCAAAACTTGTTTTTCTTACAGTCTCTTCATCTCAGAAAATGACAAACTCCTTCTATGATGAGTTCATTGACCACCCAGGCAGAACTGCTTTATAGTCAAAATTTGATATCCTAAAATTGCTTATGTTTTTCATGTCTATTAGCTACTTTGAGATCAGAAACATGTTTTATTCATCTTTTATTCCCCCATCACTTATCTTGGTGTGTCTTTGTCATAACATGTATTCAATTAGTGCTGGAGCTAAGATTTAAGCTGTCTTCAGAATAGGATAAGAGAGAAATATTAATCCTAGTTCAGCGATGTTTTCCAGTCCAGGAAATTAAGTACATTCCTTTTTTTTTTTTTTTTAAAGCTCCACAGATAAAACTCATGTGCAGTGAGGGTAAAGAACCATTCCCCCAAAGAATGGGAGAAAGGGAAAAGAAAAAAAATTAGGGCAAAGAGCATGGGGGAAATGAGGAGACTGAGCTGATTAGAACTGATTAGAATAAAATTTTCTTGCTGGAGGTAGAAAATGCAGGGCCTGACCACAAATGCCTGAAAGGCAGGTTTCTTAACTTCCAAACAAAAGCAACTTTATATCCGAAGAATGAAGAAAAATCACTATGAACCCTAGCTGTAATTAGAAGAGATGAGCCTGGGAGAGGAAATTCTTTCAGATTTTCCCCAAAGAGTAAGAAAAAAAACTTTGATGATATTTATACTTTGACGATATATTAAAAAGTAGAATAAGATACTGTAAAGTTAACAGTAGACACAGAGCTTTGGCCTTAAAATGTCTTCTTGGAAAAACAAGAAAAACTGTTACAACAATCCTAAAAGGGAAATGAAAGAATTAAAAACAAAAAACTTCAAGAAAGGTACTAGAAGATTTCCTATCCTTTTTTTTAAAATAAATTTATTTATTTTATTATTTATTTATTTATTTATTTAGGCTGTGTTGGGTCTTTTGTTGCTGTGCACGGGCTTTCTCTAGTTGCGGTGAACGGGGGCTACTCTTCGTTGCAGTGCACGGGCTTCTCATTGCGACGGCTTCTCTTGTTGCGGAGCACAGGCTCTAGGCACATGGGCTTCAGTAGCTGTGACACACGGGCTCTAGAGCACAGGCTCAGTAGTTGTGGTGTATGGGCTTAGCTGCTCTGCAGCATGTGGGATCTTCCCAGACCAGGGCTTGAAACCACGTCCCCTGCATTGGCAGGCGGATTCTTAACCACTGCGCCACCAGGGAAGCCCTCCTATCCTTTTTTGATCTCTTCAGTAGAACACAGCAATTAAAACCAGGCAATACTAGCAAACAACTTGTCATTTCTAGCAACTTTAAAAATGGCAGAATTCACTCTCCAAAAAAGGACTGAATTTTTTTTTTTTAAGCCAAGTTAAAATATAATGCAGACAAACTGCTATGGGAGGAATTGAAGGATAGCAAAGGCAGAAAAAAAACTATAGCCACTGACTCCCCTCCTCCCAATAAGAAGGTATCAGATCCAAATTATTGGTTTCTATCAAACCTTTAAGGAAATATACTATCAATTATTAATAGGTAATAATATTATGTAAAACAGAAAATCTTCCAAATTCATTTTATATGTCAAAACTTGACAAAGATAAGACAAAAAAATAAAGCCACAAAATAATCCAACCTGTGAGGAAAGACAAACTCTTAAACATAATTCAATACTATATATGTATTTTTTAACGTGGGGATAGTCATTCATTAGGAATCCAGTAACATAATACTTTAGGTCAAAGGAGAAAATTACAGGACTAGTCTAATAGATGCCAAAAAACAAATGATTATTACCAAAGATAATAAATAATTATAAAGAAGAGACTTTTTCCTAAAATTCCAAAAAAATTGTTAAAAGAATCATGGTACTGAAAGCAAGAAAACTAGCACACCTGTCATTCACCAGAAAAAATTCTGAGTAATTCCTCTAAAATAATACAGATATAGTCAAGCTTGACCAAAAAAATCAAAGCTAATAAACTGTGGACCAAAATATAAGAGGAAGTTCCTACTGAAATAACTCTGGAAGATCTCAAAGCTTAAAAACAACACATACATATAAAAAGGAAGCATGAAGAAACTACAAAGACTGAATTTTGAATCATATAGTCATTAAACAAAATCTCAGTATAAGTAAATAGATTAGATTGAAAAGAGAATTAAAGAACTAGAAGATGATTCAGAGAAAATTAGCCAAAAGGCAGAGAAAAATGAAAGGAAAACATGAAAGACATAAAGAGCAGAATTAGTAAATGCAGAGGTAAACAGAAAATGGGAGAGATATTTGAAAAGAAGATGGCTAT